TCAAGATCAACAAGAACAGCACGGGGAACATATTTGCCACCTTAAATAAAATAAACATTTAAAAGCAATAATTATTTTGAGAGAATTTCTTTACCAGCTGCTTCATTGTAGTAGACATTGATACGTTCAAGTTGAAGATCAGAATCGCCATGATATGTACCAGTTGGATCAATACCATGTTCGTCCGAAATAACTTCCCAAAACTAGAAAAGTATTGTTTATTAATTAATACTGAAAGAATTTTCTAAAATTTTGTTTACTTTAGCGCCAATTTGATTACCGCATTGTCCAGCTTGAATATGAACGATTTCACGCATTTTTCGATGTTATTAAACTGAAGGGTGAAGAACTAGTCGATCTGTAACGATATGCAATCAGAAAAGAATTATACTATTTTAACAATCAGTAACGACAACGCACACAAATAAGTCGGTTAAGAGAGAATTGTTAGTGTGCTTAGTCAGATAAGAATAAAAAAAAAACGTAAAGAAAGAAAAAGAGAAATAGCATAAAATAGAGCCTTTTCTATTTGCCGTCATCAGCTCGAACAACTCGTAACCATCGTTCTTTTTTTTTAGTCAGACAAACAAATGGTGGATGTCGCCATTTTATTGGTTACACAACGGAGCGTTTGCAATTATATATACAAAAGCTTATCGGAGGGCGACAACTCACAAACATAGATGACTCAGAATTTTGTATTCATCGCACATAAGCAAAAAAAAACCGAAGAAATAATGCAATATGAGATGATGAAGAGCATTGACAAATCCGATCGCCTGACTAATTACATACTTATTTAAGCCGGCAATCCTATTGAAATTACGGTTTGTTAAAAAAATTTCTAAAGGCTATTTCAACAAAGGAAATAAACAGGAAATAGTGAAGATGTTTAAACGTTACTATGCAAAACACACTGAAACAGTTTGTTGAAGTGAACGATTCAACTTCTTACGATAGAATTTCTGTCGAAAGAAAAACATCAAGCATATATATATATATACATTGAAATAAATTTCAGTGAAGGATAGCGGTTGCGAATTCTTATCTCTTAAGTACTTGACAAATATTAGGATACATTAACTTATCAAGCAGAAGAGATATCAGAGTACAAAAAAACATTATATTTCTTGAGATCGCCGCAATTCCTCTATGTAATTCTTTAATTCATCTTTTCCATTGACAAATGCAATCTATCACAACTGTCTTTCGAACACTTTGATCATTCATTTTCTCATCACAACATCATCAATTTCTTTTATTAGAACCAACAATAATTCAATTGTTTTCTTAAGGTTTATTTATTCTTTAGTTAAGAGCAATGAATGAAAAAAAGACATTGTTTAAAGAATACATGCATGCTTTGTGAACCACCTACAGACGAAGAAAAAGTAAACAAACAAATAAGAAGATATATAGAAATATAAGCCATAATATTGAATATTGTCAAAAGAAAGTTCTATTGCTGCGAAACCACACTTTAAGCGTGTTCTTCTTCTTCACCTTCAACACCTTCACCTTCTTCTGCAATAAAAAATCAAACACATCAATACAACAAAAACAATAACAAATACAAAACAAAACTAACCTTCAGCTGTTGCATCTTGATATTGTTGATATTCACTTACTAAATCATTCATGTTTGATTCAGCTTCAGTAAATTCCTACAACATGACAAAAAAAAACACATTTTTCATCATACTATTTTCATCTATATTTTAACATACCATTTCATCCATGCCTTCACCTGTATACCAATGTAAGAAAGCTTTTCGACGGAACATAGCAGTAAATTGTTC